CGACGACTCAGAGCCAAAAAACCGTTCATTTCGTCTGAAGAGGCGAGCGGAAGGGACGCGTAATTTGGCTCCACCGGAAGCTGTGAGGGCAATCCCCGCGCAGCTTCCAGGTGAGCCAAGTTACGAATCCCTTTTGCTCGCCACTTCAAGCATCAATCTATTTAGACATTTTTCTAAACCCAGTTTTTCTGCATACCTTCTCTCTAGTCACGTACACCAGCGATTGAATGAGCTTAGTGACAGTATCGTCATGGAGGAGTCTGAAGATTCACAACTTCACAACCACTTTGCAAAACAGCACATCAGCATGTCATTCTTCCTTTGTCTCTTAGTCCCCCGAGTTCGCCCATAAAGAATTGTTCTTAACCAATTAGAAAAAGAAATGGAATGCATCCCAACACCTCATGAGAACGAATCGGTACGACCTTGTAAGTGATAAATAAGTGAATAAACAAGTAAACATAAAGTTATCATGCAAATTGGATAGACGAAATCAGGCGAAATAGTGTTGGTGCATGTGTGGAGAAAAACTTCAACCCGTATTTTTCATTACCAGCTATGAACCAACCCAACTTTATTGCCTCCGTTTTCGTTGCGTGCCAACGATTCATCATAAAAAGGCCAATAAAAATGCCATTTGTAAACGGCATTGGTGAAAAAATTGCCAACATGCAAACGAAAGAAATGTGATGACACAATGGTTGTATGGTGCACAATGAGATGTGAATTTAGCTCAGGCGGTCAGCTTGACATGCCACTTACTTTGTCTTTGGGACTTCGCCGCTAGAATGGGAAAAAGTGAGAGTACAGCAGTAAACAATTGGTCAGAAAGAGTCAATGAAAGTCCTCAAAAATGGCACAATGCTTTTGGGTTGACCAACCTTGCGTGGAGAGGAGTTGGACATGTTGGACAATGCGAGTTTAGACGCCGCTGGAGGGGGCAGCTGAAGTGCGGCAAGAAGCCAGTTGGACCGAGCGAAGTGAGGAGAGTCGGTCGTGCAGGTAGAGTGAGCAGAGTACGCCGAATGAAAGGGACACTGTTGGTAGAGTGAGGTTGGTGTGCTCGTGGCGAGTGAGGAGATTGCAATGAGAGGCAGGTGAAGCGATTATTGCGAGTAAAGCAAGAAGAAGAACAACCACAGTAGCGAGAGGAAGACAAAGTCGGACGCAGCAATCGACCGTACGGTGGATTGAGGCTGAATGCCTACAATGAGACGAGACAGAGGTTAACGTGAAAATGTGGCATGACGAAGTTCCCTTGCCGGCAGGTGATTGGTCAGCGTAGGGGCATTCGCACATGGCTCAATTTGATTGGCTGTGAGTTCAACCATCCACCAATGAAGGCATAAGGATGAGAAAAGAACCAATAGAAATGCAGCAATTTGGCAGTCTGTCAGTGGAGCAACCTTGGTCTCGCGCATTGCATATCTCGTGCGTAGGCGTAAAGCATGCAAAATCAGACTCTACTGCGGAAAAACACGTTTGATTGTCCTGGGCAAGTGAATCAGTCACGTACGCATGTGGTGATTCTGTAGAGCGACAAAAATAGGGGCACATTTACGTTGAAATCGACAAAAGGGTAAATGAGATCTGGGATTGGAAGAACGAAAGCATAAAAAGTATGCAAAGATAAAGATAAATATTCCGCGAAAATTTTTTATCAAACATAGGCGATAATAAGTATATGACAAGTGAGATAATGGTTTTGGTGAGGGTATGGGAACAAAACTGTCCTCTTAATTCTTCTTTTATGTTTGCCTGATTGAAAAATTCGCATCCAGAATTGTGTATTTGTTCAAAGTGGAAACGAGGTGTGGTCTGACCTCGTGTTGTCAGGACAACTTAATTGGACACAACTTGTCCAAAGTCCTCTGATAAGCGCATGCAAAAAGACAGGGTTTCGGCGGATTTTTGAACCCAACAGCTTTTGCGCCCAGACACACTTTGTCGAATGGTACGACAGGTCTGTCCAACATAAAAGCGATCATTATTTTGTAGCAACCCGATCTGGAGAATGGGTCAACTTTCGTAGTTTCCCTAAAAACGGTTTTTATTCCCCACTGCTTTACTTGTTCACTCATCCGGTTAGGTCTCATTATCTCTCCATACGTGTTCGCAATTCAAATTAATTATAAATATAATCCCATTTTCACTCAAAACTAGGAAATATTTGTTTGAATCGATTCAATTCATTATCACAATGTTATTAGTCGGAGATGCATCGATTTTAAACGCCAAATTTTGTTTCGTAACTATGGTTGTAGTAGAAAACAATGATAAAGCCAGCATACATTGGCTTTCTAAGTAATATATCCCTGCTAAACTTCCCACATGTTTTGAGCGGTGAAACATTTTGAAAAGGTTAATTTTTGTCCTTCTTTATCTTCATTGTCAGCTCAACATTGCAATCAAACGTGTTAATAGAGAACAAGAAAGTATGTAAACTATCCTAACCATGCTGCCATATGACAAAGTAGTCGTTCATACATCTAACTAACAGTTTTGGTGTCAAACTTACCTATTATACGAAGCTTTCTTACATTGTTGACATTTAATTATTTGGTAAATTGGAAGCCAAACAAGATCCAATTGCCAGGTCTTACAGCTGTTCATAAACCGTATCATAACAGATGAAGT